CCCCCAGGCCAAAAAGTTTGGCTATATTGTCAAAAAGTGGAAAAAGGCCATAGTGGTTACAGAACCATTAACTCAAACCAGGGTCTGATGCCATTATTCATATCTGGTGAAGAGGTAGCCAAATACCTGAAAAAAGTACAGGACCTCCTTAATAAACAGTACGATTAGCTCTAGGGTATGTATATTTGTGTCCTGTCATTTCACTTTGTTACCTGATATCACTAGTTGTGAGCAAATGACATTGGCCTGATCATCCGAGTTATTTGCATAGCAACAAATTTTGAGCATTGATCTGATCAACCAATCTCAAAAGCAAAGTGAACTTATAATGACCTTAACCAATGCAAAAAGAAATACACTGTCCTGAAGTGAAACAAACCTTACCCAATGCAAAACGAAAAAAGCGAAATACACTGTCCTGAAGTGAAACAAACCTTACCCAATGCAAAACGAAAAAAGCGAAATACACCGTCCCAAATGAACCAAAATTGAATGAAGAAAACTCAAACTAATGAATCAAATTAATGCTAATAAACTAAACTATAATAAACCCAAATCCCTAAACAAATAATTAACAAAATCAATCAAATTAACAAGGTAACTAACAAATGGTTGTAAAAACAAGAAATGTATATGTATGAGCTCAATGAACCTATGCACTTGTTATATGCACGAGCACATGTATTATATAATTGCTCATACACAATATTATATCATAACATATATATCCATATATAATATACCCATGTGCATTGTGTAGTCCAACACAAAATGCATCATTTCATTCCAGGTCATGACAGTCATTTTTTTTCCTATGCACTAACAAACTCAAAATTATTTGCAGGGAAATGTATCTCTATATATATAAATTTACTTCATGTACATTTCATTTGTATGTACTTGGTACACTTGAAAACATCAGAATAAGTTTCATATATTTTTTTTACCGCAAGCTAACTCTCATTTTTTTGTATTTTCATGAAAACCATCTTTCTGCATGAGATAATTGACAAGTCAACTCCAACCTAAGGATGTGGAACCATCACAAGGCCTCAAGGAAACATCAAGAACCAGTACACAGTTCCAAGACCAGCCAGATTCCACATCCACACTCCCTGATGACAGCAGAAAGAACTTGTGTTTCAATACAAAAGAGACAATTTAATTATCGGTTACTATTCTACCATTGTCCATCAAGTAAGTTTATACTATTGTCCAATGAATTGCTTTGCTCGGTTGACAGCGGAAAGATTGCCCTACTTGTACTTCTTGACCTGTCAGCCGCTTTTGACACTCTTGACCACAATATACTTCTTAGACAACTTGAGACTTCATTTGGAATAACCGGAATGGCACTATCATGGTTTGTTTCGTACCTCAGCAATCGACAGCAGTCAGTCATCATAAATAATCATGCATCTAAGAAAAGCCCTTTATCATGTGGAGTACCACAAGGATCGGTTCTGGGACCAGTGTTGTTTACGCTTTACACCAGAGATCTAGGAGATGTAATCAGTACACATGATGTGAGCCACCATTTTTATGCTGATGACACCCAGTTGTCTGATTCGTGCAATCCCAGTACAGCAGATCGAATGTGGGAACGACTGTCAGAGTGTACAAGTGACGTAAAAACATGGATGACGACACATTTGCTCAAACTGAATGAGACGAAAACAGAGGCGTTGCTTGTCGGCACTAAGAAGAATCTTCATCAAGTGATGACTAACTCAGTCACAGTTTGAAACACTGTCATTCCATTTTCGAAAACCGTAAAAAACCTTGGACTTCATCTGGACTCTGATCTCTCTTTGAAAGCTCATATTGACACAGTCTGCAAATCCTGTTACTTCCATTTGCGGAACATTAGCAGCATCCGAAGCTCCCTTACTACAGCAGCAGCTCATGCACTGGTGCGATCTCTGGTTCTCTCAAAGATTGACTACTGTAATAGCATTTTCTACGGACTTTCCGAAAAACTTCTATCAAAACTCCAGAAAGTACAAAACTCTGCAGCTCGACTTGTCAACAAAGTTCCCTCTAGGATCCACATAACACCTGTTCTTAAGTCTCTTCACTGGCTACCAATCAGAGCCAGAATTGAATTCAAGGTCCTGAGTCTTGCCTACCAGTGTTACCATCTTACGGCTCCAGAGTACCTTGTTGAGCTAGTCACCAAGCACAATCCTTCCAGAATGTTAAGATCGGCAGATAGACACCTTCTCACTATTCCTAGACAGAAACTCCAGGCATTCGGGTTTCGCTCCTTCAGCTATGGTGCTCCACAGTTGTGGAATCAACTCCCGACTGAACTCAAAATGTCTCCCTCCATTGACTCATTTAAAAGTTCCCTCAAAACCCATCTTTTCAGAAAATATTACGATCTATAACTTAACTTTCCCAAAATTTCTGCCGCGGTCTAGCATAACACTTGCTTTGTAAATATTTGTAAATATGTAGCGCTTTGAGCATGCCTTATGTGTGGAATTCAGCGCATTATAAATACACATATTATTATTATTATTATTATCTAAGAATTTTTTTCGTCCAAGTTTGGGGACCAAACTTTTTCAGACAGCAGGGAAGTTATCATGGAATAATTTTTCATACAAAATTCATTATTAATTATAACCACTACAAGCGATATATTAGGATTCAGATATTAGGAAAATATAAATATAGAATATTAGCTTCATCATGTATCAGCTTAGAGGAAGACTCCAGTCAAAAGTAGTAAAACTCATCTCACAGACATACTATTGAAAAAGGTGTAAATTACGGCTGCACAATTTCACAGATGTTCAAGATAAATCCCAGCCGGTGTCGTCTCAGGACGCCGACCTTTCAATTTTCCACTAGTCTCAGGATGCCGACCTGCGGTTTCCTTTGAAGGTTAGGTTCTGATTAGGCTTAATTAGCGTTGCGGATAATCTACTCTACATGTTTTGATAAGGTGAAATCGTCGCACAAGTCACTTCCAATTGATTGAAAAGTTTACAATAACACTTAGTAGAGTGCCAATATTGAACACTGTTCATATCTTTGGTATAAATATCTATGGAATGGCCAAAGGATTCACATTCGATTTCGAAATTGCAAATGCACAGCTAGATCAGAGATTCATCCCTACAGCTCGCAACAGTCTTTACTTGATTGTTGGCGGGTTCATGTACAGAGTCAGCAAGAGAAAACGAGACTGGATATCTTGGATATGTACTGCAAAAGACTGATGAAGACCGCTGCCGACAACTCGGAGACTACATGACCAACTTCTGGATGGAGGGAGATCTGCACATGACGCAATGGAACCACCACAACACAGATGGGCCAAACAACCACCTAGAAGGGTGGCATTCACGCCTGAAGAAATACGTCGGCAAGGCTCATCCAAACATTTTCGAGATTGTGTCGTTGCTGTCACGAGAACAGACCAACACCGAAAACAAGCTGGTCCAGTATGCTGCTGGCAAGAAGCGTCCGTCCAAGAAGAGGAAATACAGGGATTTGGAGCGACGACTGGATGACATTTGTCACCGGCTTGAACAAGGAACACTGTCCGTGAAGCAGTTTGATGATTCAGCATCCCACCTATTGCATTTAGGTTAAAATCTGTGAAAAAATGTATGCTACATGAATTTACGATGTATTTATTAAAAATGCTAAAATCTGTCATCTGTTGTCATCTTCTCATTAGCTGCGCTCTCATCCGCATAATCCTCCTCTAACAACTCTTTGATCCTGCATTGTCCTCGTAATCCATTATTAATTGGCAAAATGAAACTAGTCTCAGGACGTCGACCTTTATATTTCACTCAACCGTAAAGTTTGGTCGAAAGGTCGGCGTTATGAGCCTGAACCTCCCAGCCTAAGGTATCAAGGACTCAAGCTGTTAGACAAACCTTTCAGTAAGACAAAGTTATGACTAGACGATTTAATGAACTGCTTTAATAAAGCAAACATGTCATCACCTCCATCAAAATATATTGTGTAAACACTTCAAATTAGGGTCATTAAGCCATCTATTGTAACACCATAATCATCCAAGCAACATGTCAACACAATTAGTGTCAGTTAAATTAGGAAGCATCCAGGAAATGTGCCAACAAGATTAGTGCCAGTTGAAATAGGATTAACAGGATAAAGTACCCCCCCTGTCTGGTCATTTAAGTTGTTCTTGTAGGACACACCCCATTCGACATATTCTGTATTTCATTGGTTATTATAGGGAACAATTTTAGATAAATGGTCACCAACTCCATTTGTTAGTCAGTAGGGTTTAGACTCCCAGCACAGGTCATATCTAGCCCAGAGCCCAGAGGTTTGTACCGACTCTCTGTGGCCACCCCATGTTACTCTATTCTTGTTAATAAAATTGTAATTAGCTTCTTGTGACTTCTGACTCTTTGCTGAGCTAATTGCCCATGAGCAGACCTGCACGCTAGTTAGAAAAGGGGTTTCACCAGAACCCCCACTGGGACCCAAGACCCACATCATAATAGCACTTGCCAATAATTTGAACATACTTTCTACATTACAAGTGTTCGGTATGTCTTGGCACGGGATGCTGCGATGTGAAAAACAACTTGAATATCTCTTCTTTTTTTCTTAAATTGTGTTTGTATCTATATACTGCAATGTTATCCACCTAAATGTCAATTCACAACTGTTTCGCGTAATATTTGTAGGAATCAGACAGCTCAAAGAGGAGTGTATATTTTGTGATATAGGTGTTGTTTGTTAGTGGCTGCGCTCAGAAGCCTAGCCATGTGATGCTAAGTGATGTCAGTCATTAACTGAACCTGTCTGAAACAGACAAGCCAAATTTTTTATGGTGGTCAACTTGGACACAGTGTACTGACTTCAAGCTGACCAAAAAGCATATGAAAGTACCATTGAGTTGCATCTTTTGGTACGATGCTTTCAAGGATCCCACTCATGACTTTCTGCCCTGTCCACTTAACATGGTGCCACTGCAATATACTAACAAAAAGAACACAAAGTGTATCACAAAAACTTTAATTGGTGAACAGATTGTCATGTTATTGACAAGTACATTAAAATCCGAACCGGTAGGTGAGGTTAACAACTGTATTTCCACCTTAAGCTTCTGTCACTCACCTTGCATTTCGAGTAGAGACTTTAGGATAAATCTGATAAGAGATGGCATTGCTTCACAACTGACTACTACATATATTTAATACAGGATGATCGATAAAGCTTTCACTGTAAACTCTTCATTCAAATAACTTCATTTCAGGCAATTGAGATGACACAGCCCTACGGTTCTAAAATTCACTTTAATACTCCTTAAACTACAGAAACTGTCAGATGTCCCAATATATTATATATACTTATGTCCAGATTTCATTTCATAGCTACAATTCAAGCAATATTTCATGCAAAACTAATACAAGTGAGTCAAGGTGAAATCAGGTTTAATGTCCCATTCAAGATTATAGCTCTTACGCAGTGAGTGGTATGCATGTGTGCGTGTGTGTGTGCGTGCGTGCGTGCGTGTGTGTGTGTGTGTGTGTGTGTTATTTACTTGGACAGATTGTTATTCAGATGACCACTCTCATGTTTTATGTGTCCAATACTGGTAGTAACAAAGTCAGACTGAATCTGTTAATTAGTCTTTAAATAGTAATTATTACTATTATTACATATACTCAAAGTTGCCTGCAACAAAATAGTATTCATGCAATGCAAATACATGTTATGTATAGAGCATGCATAATGTAGTACTTTTACTTTCTGTTGTCTGATGGTAACGTCACACAGTAATATTACAAGGTCAAGCTGGGTGTGTCAAAAGCAGGATAAAATATATACACAACGTTTTTGGGCTATTCCTAGCCCCTTTGTCAGGTGAATGACTTGAATACCAACTTCTATATGCCTCTCAAGAACCTCATCCACATTGGTAAAAATTATGGAATTAAACATGTTTACTCTACTCACAAGTAAATCATGAATGTATATATTACACACAAGAAATTCCTATTAAACCCAAAAATGATTTCAACATCATAGATGGAAAATTTCAAACCTTAACTGATCATAGTGAAGTGTTTATTTGGCAATACATTATTTAGGAAATAGCCAGTATTTGTATGATCAGTATGTACACACTAACATGAAGAATGTCCCACTAACTAAAGAAAGGAATAAATATCACCACCATGTAACACTTATGGAAAATAATATATTATTAGTTACACAGTGTTTTGAATTGGTGTATGGGACTGTAAGACCCTTGTAAGTTCTGTATATCCTGAGGGGTATTTACTACAAACAGATTTATGATGAATCACAGTCATTCCAGGACAAGTAAAATAACAATCTATTTCCATGAATGAACAGATTAACGTGTATAGTGCTGAATTTAATAATTGTACAAAGATACTTATGAGATAAGCAGACAATATATGTGATCAATTGAGCATAAGATCTTGGTTTGTTACAAGGTTGTTGAGTGTTGCTGTCTTAGCTGTGATCTTGGCACCAAGACGGTTGTATTTCTTTGTCATGAAGTACTCAAGTTCTTCTTCACGCTTGTATCTAGAAAAAAACCAATGAGTTCATCTTGATTACTAACAATAAATAATACAATAAGCCAGGCATTTTCACAAAAACCCAAACAACAATTTCTCTTTTCCATATCTTACTGCAAAATGGCTGGCAGTCCCTGTCATCATGTTCCTCCTCCTCCACATCTCTTTCCCTACAGATTTTTCTGTATTCTGTACTTGGAATCAAGCTATTTGTATCACTAGTTCTTAAAACTTGTGAAATCTTCGTTTTTGTTTGAAATATATACAATTGAATGTCTCACAAACTTTCCTAACAGTATGGAAAAACATATTAGGTCGCTGAAATGTCATTATTACGTTCATTAACAACTGATACATTCTGTTACATATGGCACATTTTTTATTCAAATTGTCAATATGGAAATCCACCTGCCACTTAATGTCAATGATTTGTAGGTGCAAGTCGCTCTATCCATGGAAAGTGGAGGACAATACACATGCAGTGATGGTTTTTCACTGTCGTTCACTGTTCAGGTACCTGAAATCGCAGCTTAAAGCGAGATGGAGTTTGACACTTGCTGAAAGGTGTCGGTCAATAGGCCTTTTGAAATCTGGTCAAACTCAGCAGCAGGTTGCTGTCCTCTTTAATGTGAGCCCATGTGCTATTGGTAGACTGTGGCAGAGATTTCAAGCCATTTGGTCCATGGAATATACATGTTTACCAGGTCGCCCCAGAGTCACAACAGTCCTAGATGAGAGGCACACGAATTAACTCATTAAGCCCAAGAGCCACTTCACTACTCAACACCTAGAACCCCTCACTGATTGCCCTGCTCGCTGTTGCGAAGCTAATTAGTGCTATTCACACCTGATTTCCCTGGAAGGTTTCGTGGATGACAGGAAACTGTCTAGTCGTACAAACAAGCTCTGATTGTTTAATTGTGTCATAAAGATACAAGTTGAAAGAAAGCAGGTGTGAATACATATCATGTATTGCAACGTTTTATGTAATTTTATTGCAAGTTTCTCTTGTAGACCTTTGGCGGCTTGTACATTTATATTTTATCAACATATGTATGCATTCTTTGTATCTAAGAGATGAGACATACATCAACAAATTCTTTCTCTTATATCATTGTTCGAGGTTTAATTTTACATATATGACAATGACATACTTTAAAGAAGAATTTACTAACATTCTTTATAATCTTCGAGAAAATAGCGTTTTGCCTATACATTTCTAGTGTAGACTAATTATTTTAATGAAAGTACTAAATAACGCTAGTCTGTGACTAACATAGAGCACATTCATAGCATTGCATTTTATTTCATACAGATTTAATGCAGAAAACATACGTGACCATACCAACATACATATAAAAAATGTATACTTCATATTCCTTGCATAGACATAAAACAAAGAGTCACGTGATAGGGCGTCATCAAATTTCCCGAATAGAACATTCTGTATCTCAACTGTTCAATATAGTGGCTGGTCATATGTTATCTGTGACCAATCGTTTCATGAGATACCTGTCACAGAGGAAAGGACAGGTGATGGGGGCGTGGGCGAAATTTCTGAAGAGCACGTTTGGTCACTCAACAGCTTGGATAGAGATTGATTATTGGCTATATCGTTGACTAGTCGATGTGCTGGGTTTCGGCTTTGTCAACTCAAGCTATCACGAACAGTTTGTGTATTGTAAACATACACACTGGTAACGATTATGAAATATACACACAAGACAAATAGGAGTAGATAGACACTTTGGCGAGTTTATTTGTCCTCATTTTGGTGTTTTTGGATAATTAAAACAAAGTGATTGAAATCCAACCATTGTGTAGAGATAGCATTTATTTTCATATACATTTTATGCACACAGCTAGTACATAAAACATAATGGTTTGCTGTACATGTAAATATAATCTTCACCTTGATAGGAATGAATATCCAAACTAAAGTACACGTATTAAGTCACGAAGTGACACTATATTGAATTAATACCGTGTATAAACCTGCTATTGAACCCCCACCCACCCAATATTTATGAAGGTGGGTGTGCCTATATGTATACTGAATGCAAACGAGGTTCATAAGATTACAGATGTACATGCATGCATAAACATTACAGAGAGGGGCGTGACTCCATAAAGCAGGTTGTCCAATGATATAACATTGCATCTGTTTATTTTACACTTGTCACGGGACAAACCTTTCAACAAGGACGTAGCTACATATGCATTCTACCGGAGGCTGTTATTTCAAGGTCGAAAGAGGTGTTCAATTATCTCATTACTGTAATCTGATTCAATGATTACACGTATGTGTATCGATACCGTAACTGTTATACTATCCAGCTTTTATTGACGATGGATCAATAGAGACTGAGTTCACTGATGCACGTAATAATTACACCAGATCAGATAATAACAGAGATCAAATATAAATGTTTTACACAATGCTCATGTACACTGCATAGAAAACTGACAATTCAAATCAACATGAAACTTTCAACAGCTTGAACAAAAATGCTTGAAATACCTTTGTATGGTTTACATGTAATAACTTATGATATTTCTTCTGTCTATGTTTTGAATTACCAACATACTGTGTTTTGTAACAAAGGTAGAAAAAGATTTCATTGTTGTAATAACACTGACATGTATATATATTTGATGCACTTAATATTCGATTGGGTAACATTATCAACTTTAGATTATGGAAAATAACTAGTTACAATTCAGTAAGCTTCAAAGTAGTAAGTTAAATTATGCCTAATCTATTTGAGCTTGGATGTATAATTATCTGTGTTTATGCATTATGTTTCATTATATGAAACATGACAACGTAATAATGCCTAAAAAGTAAATTCAAACTATTCTATTGTGTTTGAATTCTTTGTATGCCCTTGAAATTTCGTATATTGTTTCCTATTTATTAGGAAGTTGAAGAAAATATCATCTTCAGTAACCTCTAAACCATTACATCTAATTCAATCAATGTGAATACGAACGAAGTATTTTAGTATCCATTCCCAAGGAAGAGTATCAGACACTTACCTCTGTAAAAACATCATAATCCCCTTTCTCGCCGACATGTGTTCATTTGTCAAACGCTGTACAAGCCTATGATAATGATTAGCAATTGCTATCAAAACACTTTAAATACTTCTTCTGATTGACACTAAAGGTAGCATCTCTCGTAAGAAAAGCTAATATTTGCTCAGTACTACTGAATTGGTTGAAATAATAGGTACAGTGCGATTATAAAAAGTACAACACACATGAGCGTCTCTCGCTGAATAACAGGTGCTTTCTGTTGACGAATATATGTACAAAGGGGAGTGACTCCATAAAGCAGGTTGTCCAATGATATAACATTGCATCTGTTCATTTTACACTTGTCACGGGACAAACCTTTCAACAAGAACGTAACTACATATGCATTCTACCGGAGGCTGTTATTTCAAAGTCGAAAGAGGTGTTCAATTATCTCATTACTGTAATCTGATTCAATGATTACACGTATGTGTATCGATACCGTAACTGTTATACTATCCAGCTTTTATTGACGATGGATCAATAGAGACTGAGTTCACTGATGCACGTAATAATTACACCAGATCAGATAATAACAGAGATCAAATATAAATGTTTTACACAATGCTCATGTACACTGCATAGAAAACTGACAATTCAAATCAACATGAAACTTTCAACAGCTTGAACAAGCTGAAATACCTTTGTATGGTTTACATGTAATAACTTCTGGCTATGTCTAAGAATCTTTTGAATTACCAACTTACTGTCTTTTGTAACAATCGTAGTAAAAGATTTCATTCGATGCAAAGGCGCGACTTATCACTTTATATTTGATTAGGTAATATTATCAACTTTAGATTTTGGAAAGTAAATAGTTACAATTCAGTAAGCTTTAAATTAGTAAGTTTATGTCTAATCTAATCGAGCTTGAATGTATAATTATTTGTGTTAATACATTAAGTAGTATACACAATGGGGGTACGGGACCAGGTTCCCCCAAGGGCTCAATTTAAAAAATTGAGCCCTTGGGGAGGCCCTAATCCTGTACCCCCATTGTGTATAGAACTACTGAGTTGCATGCAAAATTTGACGAAAATCGGTCGTTATGTTGATGTCTGTGAAACAGTTTATTGTGAATCTCCTATAATTTGTTTGTTTTTTGTAATGAAGGCTTGTTGGGCTTGTTGCTTTCCTTGTTCTATGAAAAAAAAATTCTTGTCTTCGCAAATGACGGCGTTTTTACAAGACTTGGTCCGAATCTCTTGTTTCATTCTGTGATATTTTGTGATATCTGATAGCACCAAACGAAACTCTTCTTAGGAGATTTTAGAGTCGGTGAGCGCGGTGGATATGCGATGGTCTATCATGTATAACTTCGCTCCGGCTAGAATTCTAATTTCGTTGTGTTTCAATGCTTTACGTTGCAGTCTGCGAGACACGAACTTAAGCGCCAATCCCATCAACCCTGTCACTCCGGCTGTTATTTCGATGCCTAGCACCATGGGTGCGGCCACGATGGTGGTTAATAACCCAACACCTGCTACGCCTAATCCCATGCCGACTGAAACAAGAGCGCTGTCAACACCGTCCACGGAATTGACGTCCCTGTGATTTTTTTTCTGCAATGCCGACCGTGTATCGCGTTGACTTTCTAGTTGTTGTTTGATCTCACATATCTGTCGCAAACGAAACCCGTCTACGGTTTCCAGTGTTTTCGCCACTTCATCCACGACCGGGTACAGTCCCATTCTGTATATATACTCTTTTTATAAAATAGTATTTAATTGGTCCTCAGTCAATGTTTGATGAATATACTTTAAGCTGATCAGGTACAAGTTTTCGTATAAATAAATGATCTGGAGTTCAATAAACTCCTTTTGAAAAATCATAATATCTAGGTTTGCATTGGGGGTTCTTCCTGGTTGTATGCAAATACGACAATGTTTTTGTTGATGATGATAATTTTAACCCATGCAGAAGGTTTAT